AAGGTTTGCATGCAGATGCAAAGGTTGTTGGGAAATTGTTTTCTTCGAAGATTCCAACAACAAAACCATTTGTGTCAACTGCTAAGCCAGTAATTTCGACTGTTTTGACAACAATGCCAATATCAACGAAGTCAATTTCCAAAGGAATTGTGATTGGGGAAGGTAGCAGCAGTACGAAGCCTAAGGAAACGGTTGATAATTCTTCTATAAAAGACAAAGGCAAAACAGTGATGATCGAAAAGTCAAAGGAAGAAAAGAAAGCTGAAGAGGAGGCTAAGATTGAAAAGCTTCGAATTGTTCAAAGCATTATGAGACTTCGTTCCAATGATCCACCTGGGATGAACAAGGGTGATCCTTCGAAGCATTACAATTATGAAACAATAGAGTCGAAAGTTGCATATAATCATATGTATGCTTTCGAAAAGAAGCACAAGAAGAGTTATAGTGTTCTTAACACTGATATGAGTCAACTGGATTTTCCCATCAATGAGATGATGTTCATTATGGCTCAGTATAAAATTGCTGAGAAATTTGACAATGATGATGAGTACACTTAAATGAAGATCAGATTTCATGCTGTACTTGGAAAGCTTCCAGAGGAGATTTGGTCGTTGATAAAGATAAAGAATGCCACAAGCATAAAGCGAGATGTGTTTGAAAACATGATGCAGAATCTTCGCTTTGTTGTTTCAAGGGCAAATGGGCAAGTGTACGATTTCTCAGTAGCAGATTTTCCATTAATGAACTTGTATGATCTGATACAAGTTGCATTGTTGCTCAAGGATAAAGATGCTTCATATCTTCGAGAAACTGATCCTGAAGTTTTTCGTCTTGGGTTGGCTCACATCAAGATTTTTCTTGACAATTATTATGAGTGTTTAGCACTTACAGATGTTGAGTTAGCTACAGAAAAGGGATTGAAAGTGAAGGTGCCAATGGAACTTCCTTTAACTCAACCTGAGTTGAACAAGTATGTTGATGGAGAAATATGCTTGAAGCCATTTGGTATGGTGTTTGCTGGGAAAGACAAAAATGGGAAAGCTAAAAGATTCCTGTTTCAAGCTTCCGAAGTGGAAAGATATACAACATCCCAATATACGAATTTCATTGTTCGTATGAATAGCTGCAAGAAGAATAATGAAGGAGACAAGAAGAAGCTAAAGAACATAATCTCTTGGTACACTGAGATTCGAAGAGTTATGCTGTATGCTATACAGATTCTCTTGAACTAACGAAGGTCGACATTATTACAAAGGGGGAGATTGTTAGGGTCGAAATATATTGTAATATGTCGAAGTCTGTTTTATCCTTCGTATGTTTTGTAATTTTATTTACTGAGGTGTATTTCGTACGAAGCTTAATTGTCAATGCCTTAGTATTTTTTGTATGCTTTCACAGTTCCTATAAATAGGGAACTTTACTAGAGTTAGATAAGAGTCCTTTACAGAACCTGTCTATTTTCTCTGTAAAAGTTGAGAGCTTAAATGAGTAGAAACCAGATCTTATTTACATCATTTGTTCATTCTGCATTCGTTTAACTCTGATTCAGTTTAATTCTTGATTCTGCAATTCTACAAAGAGGCAATTAAAAGTGAAATGGATTCTATCTTGCAAAATCACGCATGAAAGCTAGTGGATATACCTCTAGGATGTAAGCCACTAGGTTGTATATGTATTTTCAAGAGAAAAATGAAAGCAAATAGATCCAAAGAATATGAGAATCAGTAGAACATAATGGTCTATAATTTCAATAGAAACAGACATCGCTTTCTTTTTTGGAAATTTAGAATCAAATGACACTTCTATACTCCAAGAAGGTATTTCCATTAATCCCAATTGTTGAAACAAGAAAGGGACCCTCTTCAGCTAAGATGGAACCGAAGACCTCATGCCTTGTAAACCAAAGAAGACTTACCCGGAGACTGCTTTTGTCATCATGTGAACCCGGAGACGTGAAGAAAACCTGCAGATAAACACAACATGCAGACTATTATAAGTTACCTTTTACAAACTTTGCTTGTAATCGTAGTATTATCCGGTGTACCATTCACGGTCACTGAAGTCAGACACTTTTTGTTATTTTATTATTTTCGTGTAATGTTTGGGACTCTATAAATAGAGCTTCCCACTTCATTTTTACTTACCACTTCAGAGCTTATCAATATAAGATCGTTCATCTCTATATCTCAAGTTATCTTAACTGATACTTAAACCGAGTCCCTCTTCACTTTTTTGTTCATCATATACTAACTTGTCTTTGCCTGCAAACCATGTTACGATTCAACTAAGTGTCTACTTGTTTAATGCTTATTGATATAAACTTGCTGCTATTTACTTTCCTTACATTTCTGCAATCTAACTTATCTAACTTTTATTGTTGATCTAACAAGATCCATTGAGATTAACTTATTTTTCCGCAACTTATTATCTCGTTACTAACTCTTATCAAGTTTTTCTCTCAACACCAATAATATTGGTTGGAATTGGTCAAAATAAGATAAAGGTTTTGATGAATATTAAGATATTCAACATGAAGTTGAAAGGACTATGAATGGAAATATGAGTATTCAAATCAAATGATCGTTTCTTAGAAGATCATATTTGTAAAAACTAATAATGGTTCTATCGTTTGAACTATTGAGTTTGAAAAATCAATGCGGTTTAGTGGATTTCAAATGAGAAGTAAGAGTTGATGGCATATTTGAAATATATGTTTGGATTACAAACATAAGAATGCCTTGATTAATTTCGTTTATATGCTCTTATAATTATATGTGGTTGTAACTTCTCAAACTTTGGACGTATATCGTTCTGATATAAAAATAAAACTTCTAAACATAAATTTATGGGTATAAATATACATAGAACTACTATGAAGTTATTTTACCAGAGGAAAAGCAACAAAATGTGTAAGTAGTAAAGTCATTATATAACATAAAGCAAGCTTTGAGTAATATGTGATGAAATAGATCCTTTAAAGTGTTATTCTATTTTATGACATATTAGGATCCTTGAGATATGACGCCTTAAGAATTTTACAAGTAGATGGTTAAAGCAAGAAATTGCATGAAAAAATACGATGTTTGCAAGGAAACTCATGTATGGTATATTCATAATTACACCTGGCCAATGTTATTTTGAATGCACAAATACATATAGTATATATGCTTATCGTATTATGTTGACACAATTATGCACATTCAATAGTGATAACTATGGTGTAGTAATAACCATATTGATAATGGTCAACATTTGTTGGAAAATATAAGAGGACAAGTTTATCCAAGGTTGGACAATAAACTAAAGAGCTTTGTATGTTCTTGGGGGACGTCCCATGATGAGCCAATAACTCCTATATATGTAAATAATGGTGAGTCTAGACATATTTGTCAAATACATAAAACCATTCAAATTATCTTTAATGACTATATAAAGTCAAAATAAGATTGCGGATCTGCTAACGAAATGCTTGGAATGAGAGGTCGTTATGAGGAATGGTACTAAAACCCATAGATTAATAAGTTATTGTGAAATAAAACCCAATGTAGTTGACTGGAGATCCCAAGATCTAGGTTCAATGGGACAACCTACTTGCATATAACATTTGTGAAGCATTGTGGGGGTTAACCCCAACCCATTCCTAAAACAAACAGTGATGCATGTTAAGCTTATTGTCGTGGATGATAAATTGGAAATAATCACGGATTAGCTTTTAATGATTATTATAGAATCACCTATGTGAGAGAGAAGTGGGGACTTTTCAAAAGGAAGTGTATGGGCACATTCCTAAGAGATGTTACGGAACCAGGCAAGTGTCCATGACCATAATGGACACATCAATGACCTAACTAGGTCATGGAGAATCATGTGAGACACATATTGGTTATTTACACAAATGACAGAACAGTTCAAGGACATCGAGTCTACTGGTCGGTTAGTAAAATAAATATGTATCTTAAGAGAATGTTCAAAGGGTAACACCTACCTATCCTATGCATGATTCAACGGCTAGATTTTATCTAAGTAGCTTGAAAATGTTTGATCAAGTTCAATTCATGTGGGTGATTGTTGGAAAAATAATTGGTGAATTGAAATTAATCACCAAAGTTAAGGGGTTGAATGATGTATAATCGAAATTTGATGTTCAATTTTCGATTACAACTCATAATTAAGAATGATATTAAATATAATGTCGGTTATGAATTGTGTTTTAGTGACAATTTAATTGTTTGTTGGTTATGGTTTGTACTATAAATACAACCATTCCATAACCATTTGAGACACAACAAGAATGCAATAAAAATCTCTTCTTCTCCATTTTTGTCTTATTTATTTTCTTGTTATATCGAAAGTATAATCTAGGCGTATTGAGTGTTCGTGTAGTCTTGAAGAGCCACTTAAAACTATTGTATTATGGGAAACAAACACCCGGTAGCGAACGAATTTGTTTTAAGGACAATGTGTTAACCACATGCCTCATTTTTCAGTTTTCTTGTTTGTTTTCGTACGTTACTGAAATATTATTCATGGTGAATAAAATAAATAGTGAGCTTAAACAAAGTTTCGCAAAGTATTATATTGAATTAGGAGTAGGTAATAATGTAATATTCAATTGAACAAACCAAGTCTTGAGAAAATAAAACATTCACACACACAAAAAAAGGAGGCGACGTGATCGGAACACGGAGGTTAAAAGCAGGCATCCAACACGCAACAACAACATATTGCAGCACAGCTGCAACCAACAAAAAAACTGAATCAAAACTCAAGCTTCTATATAAAAAGCAGAATCTGTTGGTGGTAACTAATTGTATTTACCATCCTTTCCAAAAGCCATCGCCCCTGGTCTCAGTGTATGCCGGAGCTTGATTTTCAGGTACGGAGGTGGCATCCGTTGTTGGGTATCCAACTGGCGGCGGAGGTGCTTGTTTCTCCATGGGAGGAGGATACGCAACTGCAATCCATCCAATTTGGCATTTCACCATGATTTCCCATTCTTTCAATAACAAGTATAAATTAACAAAATATTAACTGAATTACTGTCAATAAACTCACCAGGAATGTGTTGATCGTTGATGCTCATGATTTGCTGCGGATTGTAAAGTTCGAAGGATTGAAGAATCAGTTGAAGTCTACTGATGGATATATAGAAGAAAAAGAAAGTTGAATTGTGGGCCCCACCATCGGTGGGACGGCAGCATCAATCCAGCACACAAAACAAGGCGATTAATTAAGAAAGTAATGTGTAAACAATGGCGCCTTTTGTAGTTGGATTATGCCATTTCTCATCTTTACTCTTTTCATTTACGAATAAATACCGTCTATATCTTTACCAAAAGATGAATACTTTGTTCTTAAATATGTCAATATTCATTCCATAAACTACTCAAAGGTTCATCTCCTTCAATATGTATCAGATTTCCCTTTATATCAAATCACATTTTCCTTTCGTCATAAACATATCATCGATGTCAAATATATAAGAAATACGGATGTATTTACACTGAACTATGCATTATCTATTCAAAGAAAATCATGTTGAGAATGTATATCATGGAAATTAGAAGGATAACTAATTGAAGAAAGTTTACAAGATGGGATGCATGTGATGAGACAATTACAAAGAAAGAAGATATGTCAATCTGTATGACACACGAGCATGATTCCTTTTCGCTTTATAACGCTAACGCTTAGCCAGAGCTAAATTCCTTGCATACATGTTTAAATTCTTAACAAAATTTCATTAATTAACCAACTATCTGAACAATTTTTTAAGTTCTTAAACACAATTTTTAAGGTTACTTTGTGTGTGTGTGTGTTTTATACCATTTTATTGGGCTTTTAACTTAATGTATTTCAAACTATGTATGTCAATCTTTTACTTACTTATACTAATAAAATCATATAAAATAACTATTTTAATGTATTTAAATAAACATTAGCAACGCAACCCCGATTTATTTTGACTCACATAAAAGTTGAGATATTTCATTATAATGTAATTTAATATATTACCAAACCTACGACGTACAAATAATATGCTGTAATAAATTTTCATGAAAATGTATTTTGGTCCCTTATTTTTACACCATTTTATTTGTACACCCATTTTATTTGAAAGCCTAAGTTTAGTAACGATGAATACTTGGCTTCACAGAGGCAGGGGCGGAACACAGACATTTAAACTAGGGTGGCCGAAACCAAAATTCAAAACAAATCCATATAAATAAGTTTGACAAATAGATTTTAAAAAATGGTTAATAACATAAAAACCATTATAGTTTGTCATTTTTCCGGGTTTAATCACCTAATTTTATTTGTGCTAAATTAACTATCTGTCTTTTAATAAAAATTCTATCACAACCACTATAACATGCAAATGTTGGTCAAACATGTAATTGTTTTTGTTTTTCTACAAAACAACTATATTTTCAAAAATTCTATTGCGACCACCAACCTTTTAGTGGTTTTAAGAAAAATACATACCTTACCTAACTAAGAAATATAACAATAAATCCTTAATATTCAATAAATTAACAGGTTACGTAACTATATATATCTCTAATAGTTTTGTTCACAATTAAGAAATGTTTTTTTAATAGTTAAATGATATTGTTGCTTTTGCAGCTTTTGACATAAAGCGGACTATTGTCTATACTTTTTAGACTATCGAGACTTTGAACAAAAAAGAGAGAGTTTACCGACTATTATTTCTTTCAGGTGAGAGAACAAGGTTTAAGAAAAATCTTGTTTTCCGGTAGAGGCGGAGGAGAAGTAGAACACATGGAGCCCAATCATATTTCCGGCAAAGGGAGAGGCGGTCTAATTTCGGTGAGCAGTGGCAGCGGTCCGATGGTGGCCAACTACCCAAAACTAGATGTAAATGTTGAAACTTTTAACAAAGGGTGTCACTTTCGAGCCTTTTTGAACCAACTACTACTTATTTTGGAGAGCCACCTAATGTTATTTTGGGAGAACGGCGGCGGCGATATGTGTCAAAATTGTTAGGGTTTTGATTTTCTAAAAGGTAGAGTTAACGATTTGTAAAATATATATTTTGATTGGTTTTCTGACTATTTATTTAGTTGATCATTTTTCTTATAAGATTTAATTTTTTTAGAGATTAGATCAAGAAGTTTTAATTTCTTGTTAAAGATTAGATCGAGAGGTTTTATTATCCTGATGAAATTTTAAATTACCAATACTTATCGCTTAACAGACCAAAAAAACGGAGGGGCCATGGCCTCCCCTGGCCCCCACTGTGTTCCGCCACTGCACAGAGGAATATGAGATTGGACGGAGATTTGATGGAGATTTGATCTTATGTTTGTGTTGCCTGAAATGAATCAATTGGTCATATCCCGTGTCGAAACAAATTATAAGTTGTGATGATAAAGATGGTATTTTGTGGGACAAAATTGAAGAGAATCCAAGTGGAGAGTTTAACATTTGTATGTTCTCACATGCCTATCATAACCTCCACCTATTTATAAAGGTATGGTACAGCCTTAGGGTATATGACTACAATTAGGATTTTGCCAACCATGTCAAGACTAATGAGCCTTGGTAGGGATTTAAGGTACTCTTTTTTGCAGGCTAGATTCTTGTACCTAGACCAGACAAAAGCTCCTGACACCATGCATATACCTCCAAATAAACCTGACTCAACCTTGGCTCTCTCGGGGCTCATTTTAGAGTTGTTGGTTCGGCCATGGATATTATCCACTCGACCTAGGTTGTTGACTAGGCCTTACGTAGATTATTCTATTTTTGACTTTACCTCTTCCAAGTTTGTCTAGTCCCTTTTGAGGGTTTGACTTATAACTATTTCGGGTTCGACGCCCTCAACTTGACTTCAGCTCTCTGTTCCATTTTTTAGATCTTGCCTAACACATAGGTTATGAGTCTTATGAGTTATGTGTATGTTTGAGTTTACGTGCATTGTGATATATGTATGCTATGTGTTATATAGACCGGACCGGAGGGTCTACCGATTTAGACCGGACCGGAGGGTCCAACGATTTAGACCGGACCGGAGGGTCCAACGAGCTAGACCGGACTGGAGGGTCCAAGGAGCTACGGGACTGGAGGGTCCCGTTGAGACACATTGACCGGAAGGTCATACCGAGTTATAGCCTCGAATGGCTTATGTGCTGTATGTGGTATTTTGGGGAACTCACTAAGCTTTGTGCTTACCGTGTTATGTGTTATGTGTTTCAGGTACCTCAGGGGATCGCGGGAAGGTGCCGGCTTGATTTGTACACAGTACAAGAGGATTGTGTTTTTGAGATTCTGGGATATGTTTTATTGTGATGACATTTGATATACATGAGATTTTTGAGAATATTATATGATTTTTGTTGTGTTTGAAAAATGAAAAATTGTTTGAAAATTTACGTCGTTACAAGTTGGTATCAGAGCCTTGGTTTGAGGGATTTGGATGCGCCTTCGGGTAAATCTGGACTCAAACTGAGGATTTGAGAGAAATTTTCAAAAGAGATAATTTTTCTAAAAATGAGAAAGAATTTAAGAGAAAACGAGTTGGAGCAGTGTGTACAATCAGCCAGAGCCCAAACGGTGATTTCCCAAAATACCCTTACTTTTGTGTTAAGAGATATTTATGAGATATCATGTATGCTAGAGATAGGCTAGGTAATTCATAATTTAGGACTAGAGTGGCCTGATTTGTGATGCCTTAACCTAGGAGTTGTTGTTATATGAGAAGTGCTTTCGAGTATGTGCTGAGTAAGAGTATCCAGCAGGAATCCTCTAGAGAGGGATTTGAGTAGAGGAG